TTTTATTATATTTTTTTTTCATTTATAATCATTTTTTTGACTTTGCTGATGATTATTTTTTGTCAAAAAAACTGATTAAGGAGACTCTTTTTTATTATATATTTTTTTTCATTTATAAAATTTGAATAAGAAAATTTATTTAAGGAGATTGAATAGGACCAAAGAGTTGTTGGTTATTACTTTTGTTATAAGTAATAATGGCGAAGCACATCTGGGAAGGGTATAGTTTGAACATGACTGCAGAACTTTAAAAGCGGAACCAAAACCATATCCGTCCATTGAGTGCTTGTTATATTTATCACATAAGGATCTCTTCTTTCCAAAGGAAAAAGACATTTAACATTCCACCATTACATTCCCCATCCGCAATTCAAGCGTGCAAGTTAGTACTTGTCTCACTTTTTGGTCAACCTGTCCAATCATCATGGAGACAGACAAACTAATAAATCAGGATCCGTGTCAATTGAGTGCATTTCTTTTAAAATCTTTAAGCTTTTTTGTCCAATTTATTTTTCTCTTGCCATTTCCTTTTTTCATAACACTCGCTGCCAAAAGCTTAGAAAACTAAAATTGTTGCCTATGTCACTGTTGAATGTCTTTAAAGCACTTCTATCGGTGCACCAATTTCTTAATACTTTCATGTTTCGCTATAACCTACACAGATACTGATATATTATTAATCTCCATCATATTTTAAGGATGATCTTCTGACCTATCTATGTGGACCGGCAGATGTGCCACTATTGATTTCTTTTCTTAGAACAAGCAACGGGATCAACTGATTAATTATCAAAAATCATTGTGATTTAGTAAAATTGTAGAGAAGATGAAAAAAGGAGCAGCTTATAGATGTATGGATCATATTTTGCAAAGGTTTCAGCATTGGATTTCACATGGTGGAGTCAATCCAGTTGTAGAATACAGAATATATGTTGTGAATGGCTCTCCTTTAAGTGTGAATTAGAACATTAATTAAATTTCTTTAATATATATTTTAGATTAAAAAGAAAAGGGCAAGCAAGAGCACTCAGCTTTGTGAGTGGAGAATGTATAAAATAGTGAGAGAGACATTACCGCTAATTAAGCCAGACCAAACAGGCCAATTGATAAAGAAAGAAAACAGTAAAAAAAGGAAGGCAACAAAGTGAAAGTGTTCTTTGGCATATTCTTATTTGGTGCCATTATCATAAAATCATATCGATATCTACATGACCTAATTCCATTCTCCAATTCATGCCATGCCCCCTCCAGGCATTAACTCCAAACAATAAACAAATTCCTCTTATTTATATATATTGTGGGTTGTTCTAGCTTACATTAAAAATTTTAGTCATAATTACTCTTGTTTATATTAAAACTATTTATATATATTGAGGGTTGTTCTAGTTTACTGGTTGGAGAGAAGGGGTTAAAGTAGAAATGAGAGTACCTGCTTTCAATTTTTGTCGTTTTGTAATTTTTTCTATGGATAAAAAAAAATGTTATAATTATTTATAATTTTCTAGTAAGTTACTTATTTATTTTATTTAATACTTTGGCATTTCATATACACTATTGTTTCTCTATTTTCTAGTAAAGGTATATTTAAAATAAAAAAAAAGATAAGTAGTACTATTTTAAATTTTTAAAATGATAGATAAATAAAAATAAAAAATTCTTCAAAACTGACATATAAAAAGAAACAGAAGCAATTAATAATATTTGATCGGTCCATGGTTTAAAAGTTCTTCCAATAATTTGATGTGAGATTGGTTGATGACTTGATGTAACAAGGAAATCATCAACAACCTTATAATATGTTAGTAAAACATATTAATAGCATGTAATTAATACAATAAGGGTCCATTATGGAATTCACGGTGAGAGCACTGAAATTTGCATCAATTGCAACTTTTCAACCAACGAATGAATATTTAATCTGTATGAAAAGGTCAAGTAAATGCACCTGAGGAGACACGATCATATCATCGATTGCATTTGCAGAGCACTGAAAGAATATGAAACAGTACTTCCTGCTTTTCTTAGGTTATCAAACTACAGGCAGAGTTCTTCTAATGTAATTGATTAATTAGTAGAATCATCTATAGTTTCTGAGCTACCAAAGTCGTAAAAATTGCCAGGATATTGACGATATCATGACGTGAGTTGCATCATGGTACCTTGATAATTCTACAATATATTACATTAGAATGTTACTTAATAAAATAGCTACACAAATAAAATTTTCACCTCTTACAATTCTTTTACGACTTTGTAAAAAATTAAAAATACTGGTTCTACTCTGGTTGAGCGTGATAAGAGAATATTGCAGGAAAATAACCATGGGCCTGATGTGTAGGAATTCTTTGGACTTGCCGACTTGGACCCTTAGACCAGCCGGATATAGAAATTCTTTATACTGCTAAAAATGTTCGATCTTGATGCAAGTTATTAGCAATTCCGAAAGAGGAATGCGACAAAAATCTTGGATGTTTGGAATTGATTGATATATCCTTCTAGTGAAGTTGTGTATCAAAAATGCCTCACAAAGTTTGAAGATTTTTGTTCATCTTTTCCTTGTTATGCATACAAGAGATCTAAGAGGTATTTCAAAAGACAAGCCTCTTACATGAAACAATAGAGTTATAAAGTGTTTGCAACACTTTCCAAACCGACAAACAATGAGTCGCTCATGCGTATGAGGATAGGTTTTTGGAGGTGATGCGGCGCAAATGTACAATTTATTTGATGCGCATGCAAATATAGACTTTGAAAATATTTTTATTTTTATTACTCTGTAATTAGTTTTTAGATTTTTTTTATAAAGATAAGAAGTATTACAAAGATGATCTTAATGAGAATTGAATTTAAATTTTCATTATTTTAACCTAAATTTTCATGTTTTTAATTATTTTTATTTAATTTCTCTACTTTGTTATTTTGTAATTTTGGTGTTCTTATTTTAATATAATAATATTAGTCTTTATAATTTTAAAATTATAAAATTTTGATTTTTTTATCAAATTGATATCTATTAATCGTTGAGTTTTAATGTTTATTTATATTCAAGAAGTGATGTGACATTTAATAATATAGTATTTAAAGATAAATTAATTAAAAAATATATACAAATAATATTTATTAATAAAAACACTAATTACTTGCTAAAATATATACAAATAAAGATTTTTTTGTATGTTATTTTTTAATTTTTACTTTTACATGTCACATCACAAAATATCATGTCATTTATGTAATAATAAGTTACTAAATAATGTCAAAATTTAATTATCAACAAATATCAAATTGACAATGAAACAAAATTTCATATTTTTAAAAATGAGAATACTAAATATCTCTATTTAAAAATACATAGATCAAAATTGTGGATTGACAAAAATAGAAAAACTAAAAATATAATATAAATTTTATTTATATATTTAAAGGCTTAAAGATAATGTCATCATCCGTCTTAGTGAAGTGTTATTGTTCATGCTCTAATTTATCTATACCGTCTTATTGTTCGCCAAAATTCATAGCTCACATGGAGATATTTTTCATGGCAAGGTATATCATGTGATGCACCTTTAAAATACAACAACTAATATGTGGATAACTATTTCTATATTAATTTGACCTATATTAAGAAAATTTAATTTATTAGTTAAGCATATGTTCGACAAGGTTGCACATTTATGATCAAAGAAATTCACTAAATGTGATTATTCATTTTTTTAGCACAATGATGCACTTCAAACGGTTGAAGATTAATAGGTTACCTCTTAGTTTGCCATGCAAAGCAATCCATGACCCTGAATTCAAAAGAGTTGTGTCATTATTAGAACCATTTATTTTTAAACTACATCAGAATATTGCTCACACTGTTGATGTCAAAGCAAACAAATATTGTGGTTAACTAATCCTTTTCATAGGATTTTAAGATACGGACATTAAATTACACTATCTAACAAAGAAATTTAAATTGTTTTATGCAAACCAAGCATTTTAAAAAAGAAAGAAAATTAATTGAAGTAATTAAACTTTTATATTTCTTAAAATTTTGAAATTACTTATCCAAACACCACCATAAGTGATATATATATATATATATATATATATATATATATATTTTGAAATTTACCAATTCAATTAAATGGAGGTGTTCATTTTGGTTTTTGGTCCATGGAAGTGTCAAACACTTTAATCAAACTAAATTGGGCCTATTAGGTTTCGGTCATTTTCTTATCAATCCAAGGCTCATGTTATGCAAATCTTTTTCTTTTTTTATTTATAATTTTGTTCTACTCTTTACACCCTCTTTTTTTATATTTTAAATACTGTAGAAATATCCCTCTTCCCTGTCACTTTTACACCTCTACTTTTTCTTAGATCCTAGGAAAACTAATTTTTATAATGTATTTATGCTTCAATACATTATAAAAATTAGTTCTCACAATATGAAGTAAAAAAAGAATACATTTTTGTCCAAAAAAAAAAAAAGCGATGCAAAGAGAGAAGAAAAACAATGTAAATAGGATGGGCTTTAATCCAATAAAGTCTGATACTTATACGAGATGCCCCAGCCTATTATCCGGTCATTTTCTCCTTGTCTTTATTAATAAAAATACATAATAAGGTAATCTTTTAAAAAATCAATTAGAATTAAATCAGTTTAGGCTAATAACAAACAAACAAGGTGGATAAAATAAAATAGATTATATTAGAAGAAGAAAAAAAAGACTTATTTTGTATATGTTTGTAATTTTCTACGGAGATTAATGATTATTTTTTATCATGAATATTTCATATAATAACATAATTAAAAAAAAAAGTGAGAGTAAGAGAATAAAAAATAAGATGTAAAAAAAATGTGAATTAGTAAGGAGTGATGAAACGGCAGAATGAGTGGAAGGAAAAGAAGACAAATAATTAAGGCATGAAATCCAGATGGCGTTGTATGTTTGATGAAGTCCGGCATGTATTAAATTAAATAGCGATCGACAATTGCATAAACCATTTTGATAAAGTGGATCGATGTTTTCAATACATATATATTAATTGTTGACTGTGGACTGGACTGGGTATTTATATGAACAACCAGAGTTGAATAAGTTGAAGAACCTCATCCTCTCTTCTTAAACATTGAATTTCTTTGTATCTGAAACATGGTTGGTGGTCGTTCTTCCTCTCCCAAATGGTCAGCTGATTTCTGTAGCTGTGGAGAAGACCCTCTAACATGTAACATCTATTATCTATAATCTATCTATATATCTATATAGAGGTATATTCATTTTTGCATGATTAATTTTGAACTGATTAATAATAATGCAGGTTTGATAACATGCTGTCTCCCGTGCATCACCTTTGGCCAAATTGCAGAAGTTGTGGATGAAGGGCGTAGTTGTAAGATGAATGAAATAACATGTGATCATAGTTTGGTTTGTGATATATATCTAATTAATATATATATATGTGTGTTTGTGTGGTTTTTGATTAGCTTGCGTTGGACAAGGGTGTGCGTATGGGTTACTCATGTTGGTGACGTGTCACTGGCTGTACTCGTGTCTTTACAGAGGGAAAATGAGAGATAAGTTTGGGTTACCAGCTGAACCCTGTTGTGATTGCTGTGTCAGTTTCTGCTGCGATCCATGTGCTTTGTGCCAACAACATGCTGAGCTCAAAGCAAGAGGTTTCAACCCTTCCAAAGGTATATATATATCCACATACTTTTCTTTATTATTTACGAGTCAAATAAAATATTTAGTTATCTAAGATATTGCTAAAAAAATATATATATGCAGGTTGGATTGGGCCACCAAATGCTCCTCCAAGGATGCCACCCTCCATGTCTAGATGAACCATCTGCCTCATTTCAGCATCAATACTTCTTGTCCATTGCTTAGGGAACGTTATTAAATATCATTTAGCAATTCAGCTGGTCAATTTCCTAAAACAAGATTCAAGCTTTTACTTTTCATACTGTTTCAACTTATCTCAAATTTAGTTTGTAATACACACCAATGTTATGCAAATACTTAAACAAATTAGTTTCACATGCATGCTGAATAATATTGGATGAGGAAGTATTTCAGCTACACTATTTCATCTCTTAACCACATACATTTTTTTGTCAAATATTTTTGCTATTTTGTTTCGTATAATTTAATATAATATATATAAACTATAGAGAGAGAAATGCCAACGAAATTAGGTCTAATAGAAAGGACTAATCTCTTACAATTATAAATTAAAGTTCAAATCTCCATTCGAAGAGGTATTACTACTCACATTTAATGTTGAATAGTATCTCATTCATGATTACCTCTACACTTGAGACTATATATATATATATATATAAGGTTATAATTATAACGATATAATTTTTATTAAGTATTATACCATTCAATAACTTTATATTATTAAATATGAATTTTGTAAATTTAACTATTAGATTGAAAGTTCATATCAATTTATATGTGTATATTAAATTTTGTTAAAATTGAAGAATAACTTAAAGATGATCAAAGTGTTCATATTTTAGTATATTTTGAAATGAATATATTACGTCAATTTTGTTTTATAAGAATAAAGTATCAAATCATCTTGGATTAATATAAAATTTTGTATATATGATCTAAGAGTAAAGAACTTTCAATCTAACGGTTGGATTTACGAAATTAACATTTTATATAAAGTTATTGAGTGGTGTAATATTTAGTAAAAGTTATACCGGTATAATTATAACATCCCTCATATATATATATATATATATATATATATATAAATTAGACATCTATATAAAAATTTGAAATTATAATAAAAATGATATTAAAAATAACTAATATTATAATAAGTAAAAATAAAATGCTAATCAAATTATTTAAAAAATAAAATAAAACTATTATATATAAACAACGATAAAATAATGTTATAATTTTTAAAAATAAATTTAAAAAAAAAACAATAATAAAAGAGAGAAGTTTTAAATGTAATGAACTAAATGATTATGTTACGAAAAATAGAAGAAGAAAAAAAAGGTGTTGTATAAATAATTATTATACGTATATTATCATTTTAATTTAATGCACTAACAATGTAAAGAGGGTATATCCTCTTCGGTGCTGAAACTTTCCAGTTATAGAGAGATATACATAAAGTAAGGATAAGGTTTACATTTTTTTAAACCATTTCACAACTTTTTTGTGTATGTCTCCCCTACAATAAAACTTTAGTAGTCGAGAAGATACACATTCTAATGTAAAAATGCTTTAAATCTGTCAATTAATTACAAATCATATATATATAATTTTTAAGAGATATTTATAAAAGTCAATAAATTTATTATATATAATAATTTGTTTTCAGACGACAGTTAATATATTGATTATTTTTTCTTAATAATATAATTCATCATTAGAAATATTATATTTCTATATAAATTAGAATAACTATATTTTAAAAGATTATTTTCTTTTGACAGGAATAGTTTTAACTATTGCAATTTTACTGAGATTATTATTAGAGATTTTTTTTTTAAAATTTTAATCTATTATTTTGATTTTATTTATTATTGAATTTTGATATATTTAAAATAAATTATTAATAAATAAAATAATCTTTTATTATAATATAAATTATTCATGATAAATCTAATATAAAATATTTATTAATTATAATGTGACTTATGTATTAAAAAGTATTCATTTATTGTAATTGGTTTTTATTGTCTCTTTTGAGACTTTTCTTTATTAAATTTAAGATTGGAACTTAATATTGAAAATAATTTGAGGATGAATTACAACACTAGTCTAACTAATAAATGTTGATATTATACTATTTATTTAACCACAAAGTATTATAAATTTTAGTCATATGAAAAATAAATCTTGTGATTAAAATACTAATTAATAAATAAAAAAAAAGCTGTACAACGTCTGTAGTAAGAGGAGTAGTTATGAACCTTGTAGACTATCCGCATGGGGGTGGTGAAGGGAGGGCCCCAATTGGTAGAAAAAAACCCGCAACTCCTTGGGGTTTTCCTGCACTTGGGAAAAGAAGTAGAAAAAGGAATAAATATAGTGATAATTTGATTCTTCGTCGTCGTAGTAAATAGTAGAGAAAATTGAAATTGTTTCTTCGTCTTTACAAGAAAAAGGAGTAATTAACTGTGACACGTTCACTAAAAAAAAATCCTTCTGTAGCGAATAATTTATATTTTTTTATATGAATGGGCGAACGACGGGAATTGAATCCGTCGGCCAAGCTCAGCGCCTCTGCCAGGTTGATTACGGAGAGATTAATTATCATAACGCATCGGATTAGCCCCCTAATTTTCTGGGGCCCAATCCTTAATCACGGCCCAATACGAACATCTATAAATAGAGCTCCAACGAGGTATGTAACCAACTTTCAACTACCGCATTTATTACGCCGAGCACTAACTTGAGCGTCGGAGTGTCTTTGCAGGCACCCCCACATCACTTCAGACTACTCGGATCAGAACGAGAAGACCGAGACCCGACCCAACTCAGCTAGGATAATTTGAGTGTGTCCTAACACAGGAACAACATTAAAAAAATTTGACCTATTTGATAGTTGTATCGATCCGTCCCTATATCAAGTACCAACTATTATTTTAATGAATCACCATTTGAATACACAATAAATGAGAATTCAAAGAGTAACATCAAATGTAATTACTATGTTATTTAAGAGGCACCAAAGGCAATTATGCCAATAATAAGCGCCTACAATTCAATATATATAGTATAAAATCTAAGTGCAACAGAAAATTCAATATATACAGTATAAAATTTAAGTGCAACAGAAAATGTGTTTCATCTTTGTTGTTTATAAAATATTTTTGAGTCGGTACAATTATTGTACATGAATAAGATTAGGGATGACAAGTAAATTCGTATTTATAGACTCGAATCTGTCCCAATGTTGACAGAGATTAATCTTTGTAAAAAAAATAACAAAAATATAAAATATAGATAAATTATATAGATATAAAGTGAGTAAGTTAGGAAACATTAATTCTAATTATCCTCTAATATAATCTTATTTGATTTTTTTTTT